CAGCAGGAAGGTGAGAAGTTACATAAAAGTTGGAGCTTGCAGGTGATTCCATGAATCATATGCGCAGCATAGCTGTTAACTCGTTGGCTTTCAATGAAGAACACACGCGAAAAGCAAATTATTCGATCGATTCAACTAGAAATGGTGCAAAATGAATGTTATGGCGACATTGCATCGACCCAAAATGCGATATTCAATTGTTTACTAACTCAAATCGACCGAAGAATAACTGTTGTCAAGCTCAAACAACGAACTTCCAAAAAAAATCTGCAGAAATAAGCAAGGTCTGCTCTATAATCTGATTCCCAACGAATAAATCCAAGGCTCAAGTCGAAGCAGTCGGTCATACGAATCAAGAAACTTTCTTACACACTTAGAACATACAACCAAACCTCAAATTACACGAAAAAAATACAGAACCCTAATAGGAAACTTTTTTAATGGAAAGAAATCTCCGTACATGTAAACGAAAAAATCGCAAATTTCAGACACCCAGACAACAAATTCAGAAGATCCAAACCCAGAACATGAAATCCCAAACGAAAACCCGCGGATCAAAAAGGGGTAAAAGCTATAAAAAAACAAAGGACCCACAAAAAAGATCCGAAGCCATAAAAGCGGATCTGTTGAATACCAGAAAAAAATCACCAGAAACACGAGAATTGAGGAAAGCACAAAAAAAAAACCCAGAATTTGAAACGGGAAACAGACGAACCCTAAAGGAAAGGGACAACATACGTACCGAAGAAACCCAGAAAATTCCAGATCGTAGAGAGCGAGAGAGAATCAAAGGGTGAACAGATCCATAAGAAGGAGCTTTGATGATTGATGAATCCCTCCCTCACCCTTTTTCAATTTTCTGCTGTGATGAATGAGAAATGTTTTCTTTTTCATGCCTGTGGCTAGCTTTTCATGATGCGTACGCTATAATGCGCTGGTGACAGTCATATCATTAAATAAATAATTCCAAAATTAAAAAAAAAAAAAAACAAAATGGATTGGAATTAGGTATTGGGAGTTACTAGTAAATAGCTAAAAACTAAAAGTACATTGGGTTTTGTTTTTCCTCTCTTTGACCGTTCAAACCCATACTTAATGTGTGAAAATATATAATTAAATTATATATAATTAAATTAAACATGTTTATAATATCCGTTCATATCATATAAAAAACGGGTCAACCTTCAATCTTCGAGTTTATCAAAACATTATCCATTTGTTTGTATTCTTAGTCATCATTTGTTCGTTAATCTTATTTTAGTGTTTATCTAGATATTTTTTTTCAAAATTGATTACAATTTTTTTTTATTTTTTATATATAATTTTATTCAAATTTTAAATAATATATAAAATTCTACGTTCAATTCTAATATTGTCTTTAATTATAATATTATGTGATTTTATGGATGTCAACTTATTTAACAATAAAATAAAATTTTGTTTAGATCAGTTGCTACTAACTTGTAAATATTATATTAAAAATAATTACTAAAAAAAACGTGTCATGACTATTCACTTCAACCACCGCAAGAAAAAAACGAACAGAACATGCCGACACACAGAAAGAAAAATACAAATATGTGTTTCAGATGTTTCCAATGCGAACTGAAAAAAATAAATTAAAATTATAAAATTTCAAATTCCAAATTAATAATATTGCTGAGAATATGAAGTTAACAAAAAAAAATATATTGCTGAGATGATAAGGTGTCGGAGACTTTGAAAGATGAAAACACGACAAGATGAGGGCAATTTAGTCTTTTCGTGTATTATATCGAGGATGCCGGAATATACCGAATATTAACGCTCCTCTTTGGTTATTCGATATTTTGAATTATTTGGATAGGATTCTATTATTTCAGGTATTGAACGTTTTTGAAATTCGATTTCATAGTTGTGGGGTTTAATTTAAATATCTGAATTTTGAATATTCAGAAGAAAAAATAAATAAATCCAGATAGTCCCATATATATGTATTTGTCTCTCCAACATTTATTCTTGATTACCAACCAAAATTTTACTTTTTTTTATAATAATATTCCGGTGGGATTACCCAAAAATAATTAAAATAATTTTGTAATAATAATAATAATAATGAGTGGATTATATTCGGATAACAAAAAAACATAAGTAATCGAATCGGATAATTGGGCTAATGGGCTTGGGCTGTTTTTTTAAAAGGGCCCTGTGTTCTGTGGTGAAACAAAACGACGGCGTTTCAATGAAGAACCTCAAGTTGCGTTGGAGGCGTCGGAGAAGAAGTTTGCTCAAGACTCGAAGAGTTCTGGGTGTTTTTGAGAAGAGCGACGACAATGGCGTGGACGCGAATCACACAGAGCGCAAGAGCAGTTCTACGAACAACAGAACCACCCTTTTCTGCTCTTAGCTTTCCTAGATTCTACTCCAAACCCGCTTATGCTGGTAAGCGGTTTTTTGGCTTGTTCGATTTCCTCCTCTGCTGCGTCGATTCCGTTTCCGGGAAAGTCGATAGAAGTTTGCGTGAATTAGCTGATTTCGAGAGGTTTAGTGCGTAACTTATCTTCTGATTTCCGGGAAATATTAAGGGGACGTAAGGATTAGTGGTTTATGATTGGCTTCGGCGTTTTAACAATTTCTAATTTCTGAGAAACCAGTTGATCTCGAGAGGTTTAAACCTGAGATTACAAACGTATTTATCGGTAATACTAATGGAAGATGTGAGGATTAGTGGGCTTTGATTGGTTTCAGTGTTTACCATTTTCTGGTTTCTGGCTTTAGGGTTTTAAGTATTCAGGTTGCTTGTAATACTCTTAGCTAACCAGTTAATGGTGGAATCTGTGGATGATGATTCGATCGAATCGGTCTGAAAAAAGAAAGGTGAGTAGATCTATTTTCATTCAGAGAGATTTCTTGGTATAGTCAATGATCAGAGATGCGTGGTTAAACATCCAATGCATGAATTTGTTGATACAATAGACCATAATATCTCCGGTTCGTCTAACGGCCCATGTGTTCTTGAAAGTTTATCGGATTAGGAATCGAGTCAACTATTTGCGGGCTGTGTTTCATTTTCTCTTTCTGATATTGCAGTGAAAGTAGGAATTCCCGAGTTCTTGAGCGGGATCGGGGGAGGAGTTGAGAACCATGTGGCCAAACTCGAAACCGAGATAGGCGACCTTAATAAACTGCTTGCGACACGTACTCTCAAGCTCAAGAAATTCGGGATCCCTTGCAAACATGTAAGTATTCAATTCTCTTCCGGGTTTATACACAGTAAAAGCAGCCTTTCACATGAATGCTGAGCTATCATTTTCGATCATTGAGAGGCCAAGTTCTTTCTTGGCGGGGGAAAACATGTGTGCTTGTGAGCGAGAATGAAGGATCCCGCTTGACTGAATTTGCTCCGTTTATTAGTTTTGCAAAGCATACTAATCAAGAAAACAAAAAAGGTTGGATTCTTGTATTGATGAACAGAGGCAAAGAGATTGGTCATGAATCGTGATATTATATGGCTAAGAAAACTTGTTGGAAAGTGTTGATGGGTTTATGAAACAACAACATCCTCTGCTCGGACAGCGTGTTTTCTCCGATTTTGCCTCATGGTTTTCACAGTTCTGAATTCGTTTTGCTTTGCAGAGGAAGCTCATACTCAAGTATGCCCACAAATACAGGCTAGGGCTGTGGAAACCTAGAGCAGACACTATCAGAGCCTGATCGAGTCGCCGCATTGAACTGTGAGCGTCTTGCACGCATGCTTGATTTTGCTGCTGAAGCCAAGCTCGTACTCGTATTACCGTTCTCGTAATGCATCGGGTATTGGACGAGATCTAGGTTTAGAATGTTGGTTCTGTGACAATGACTTCAAATTTCATTTTGGCATATTGTTTTCTTCCAATAACAAAAACAAAAGTATATACAAAGACTAAAAAATATTTAATGTCGCAGATGATATATATTTGCAGTTTTGCATTGCATTTTGGCATATTGTTTGCTTCGTTTTTTAATAATAATTTTTTTCAAAAGCAGGAATATTTTCTTTTCTTAAATACCTGATATTTTTTTCTGGATTATACGACACAATTCGTCAATCGCCACAATTTTTGTATTTCCTCCATTTCTCTTTGCATGATTTTATATATTTATCCTACCAACTTGTTCATCAATTCCTGGTGGAAACTTGGTTTGCCACATGGCAAAATATTATTGGGTAAACAATTCCACGTGGCTTGATATAACTACACACACGCGGAGTCGTAGGGCCACTCTCTCTCTCTACCCCCTCGTCTAAGGGGCGGACTCTGAGTAGAAGAACAACCACAGATAAGGTTCATTTTCTCGCGTTTTCCCTCTCTTTCCCGGAAAATCCGCGATCTTGAAGAATACCCAGTTACGATAAGGCACCAGCGAACAAAACCCAGTGAAGTTTTTAGCGGATTAGACGTAAATTCGAGTTCTTTCTTTAACGTTTTGATGATTTTTTCCCCGGAGTCTGCATGAGTTGGAAGGAATCCAGAAGGAAGAAGAATTACGGGTCCTTCAAGTTCTATCACTTGAAGAAGGAAGAGGAGAGTAAGATTTCGGGATGGTTGCTTCCATGGCTTTGCTCCGGCGATCGCCGTCTTTCGATTTTCTGTTCGATTTTCCAGTCCAGAAGAGAACTTCTCTATCGCCAGCGGCTTCTGCTCGAATCTGCCCTCCCTTCCCTTCTTGCAGATGGTCGTGTCTGAAATCAACTTTGAATTCTCGCAGGTTTGGATTGAATGGGTTTATCCTGTTTGGCTCCCGAGTAAAATTCTAGTGGGATTTGAGAGCTTTGAAGTTGAAATCCAACTTTTTTTGTTCGGCCGTCTGAGTAAATGCGTTTGCAAATAGTTCGAGAATTGAGCTCGATAGACTGTGGAATCGTCAGGCATTGTCGTAACCTTTGAACTTGAATAAAGACTGTTGCTTGTGAGCTTCGATTTCGTCCTTGTGTTAGTGTTTCCGACATAATTTCAAATTTTCATGATTGCTGCGGTAAATAAGAGCAAGAATTTGCTACGGTTTAAGAGAAGTTAATCAAATTTGCTCTTAGCTCAAAACCACAGAAGTGCAATAGTATTATCTTTTGTTCACTGCGTATCGTTTATTTCTTACTGATTTGGATATTTCCTTTGCATGATAGGTTACATAGCTTTAGCTCAAGGTGTTCAATAATAAATACAGATGTATGTCATGGCCATATCACTACTGATGACAAAGTCCACGAAGATTTGCCAACTCCTGCAGAGGATCATGTGGTTCCAATCGTTCATCTCGATAATGATATCCCCATAGCTGAATCTCTGAGCTTGCTCACCGAATGCACATATGTAGACACCCTTTTGACGGCATTGCCTGTATGTCATCCTTTTCCTTTTTCCTAGTATTTGAATTCACTAACCAAACCCGATATTTTCTGTAGTCTTGCATAAGCAATTCAGTTTTTTGTTTCGTATTCTCGGATTTCTAGGTATTGTCGGAGGAGGAGCAGAATGTGCTTGCAGCCACTCCAGCTCATCCGGAAGGACTATATGGTAAGGGTGCTGCCTCATCTGTCTCACATAATGTTTGGAAAATGAGATTTTCACTTGGTTAACGATTTTCTCTTAAGGTTATCTTCAGTTGTGACATTCACCAATATGAAATAACATCGATTTTGCAGTCTTGTATGCTAGCTGTTTGGTTGGGAATTTGGTTGAACAACTTTGGAATTTCGCCTGGCCATCCGCCATTGCACTGCTTCATCCAAGCCTACTACCTGTAGCAGTCATTGGCTTCTTTACCAAAGTGGCAATAATTATTGGAGGTCCAGTGGTTGGGAAATTTATGGATCATAGTCCCAGGGTTCCCACGTATATTTCATTGAATGTCGTCCAGGTAATCTTTTATGAAGAAGCCAGAATCTTTTCATTTCAACATTTTACATCTTACAGTTGTATTTAGAGATCACAAATGATTTCTCGCATGCTCTAAACACTTTGTATTTCCCTTGATAATTTGAAACTCCATCATTTATAATTTTGACTGGTTGTGTGAGGTATTTAGTTACTTCACTATAATCTTGTAATCAGAAACTTGTTCCTCCTAATGGCACTGAGGCTTAGAATCAATCACAAACGTAAATCTGCTTCGATGATCATGTTGATAACAGGCAACCGCACAAGTGCTATCTGCTGGAATGATAATTCATGCATACACCGCACCTTCAACATTTGCATCGTCATTTCTTCTTCGGCCCTGGTTTTCCGCATTGGTACTTGCTGGGGCAGTAGACAGGTTATGTGGAATAGCATCAGGAGTTGCTATAGAGCGTGACTGGGTTGTACTGGTATGCTTTCCCTGCATTCATATGCCTTAGCATATCTATTTTTTCATCAAATAAAAAAAAAAAAAAAAAAAAAAAAGAAGAAGAAACAAAGAATGTAGTCTGAAGTATATTATTTGATTGTTTGGCAGTTGGCTGGCATAAATAGACCAATTGCTCTGGCACAAGCAAATGCCGTTCTCAACCGGATTGATCTGCTCTGTGAGGTATGATGATATTTTTGTCTGGATTTTTGTACTTACCCCCTTTGGATCAAAAAATGATGAATTTGGATTTTCTATAGATTGCTGGAACCATGTTATTTGGCATTCTCTTGTCCAAATACGACCCTGTGACCTGCTTAAAATTTGCTGCTACACTAATGATGGGATCGTTGCCTATCATGGTAAGTAGTATGGCTCGTGTTCTTAGTAATTTTTATGATAGATATATGTGTCATCATTTTGCATCACACGCACACACACGTACAAGGGATTCCTCAGTTCGGACCTAAAAGGCGGTATCACTTGCTCGTTACTGAAGTTTCTTTCTGTGCCCGAAGATCCATTAAAGCGTCATTGTATTGTACCTCTAATAGATGAAATCCATTTTCCAGACAGGTCTCATATGGCTAACCAACAAACTGTCTTCTGGAGTTCTTGACCGTTCCAAATGCTCACAGAGCTGCTGCAATGAAGGAACTCTTTCTGATGTTGTCGGCATTAGTAAGCTTTTCACTCTGAGGATTACATGAACAAATTATATCATCTTAGTCATTTAAACATTACTGAATGCCATTTGAATTATCAGTTAATACTGGCATGGAAGCTATCAAGTTGGGATGGAAGGAATATATCCAGCAGCCGGTTCTACCTGCAAGCCTCGCATATGTTCTTCTTTACTTCAACATTGTGCTCACTCCGGGTAGTTTGATGACTGCATTTCTAACACAACGTGGTATGATTTCTGTAACTTGCTTGCTTGCTTCATCTAGATTTTGTATCAAAATCTCGATTCTTAGCGATTCATATGAACATCTTACCCAGAAGAGAATTTTTGCTTGCCCGTGGATTTTGTCGCGGCTTCATTCTGATTGTCATACAGAACTAGTTGATTCCTTGTACATAATTCTAGATTGGAAGTAGTAGTGGATGAGAAGGAACAACAGTAAATTGTTTCAGGAGAAATGGATTCCTTGTCTGGAAATTTTCAGAGTATCAATTATTTCGGTTTCTCAAGTGTGTTCTGAATTAAAACGACAACAAAGTTACCTTCTTTTTGTTGAGGTCTGGCTTCTTTATTCAGACATCTGGAATAGCATTTCTTGACTTTTTTCTTTTAAAAATTTTTTTTTGGGTATTTTTTTTTTGTTTCATACAACTCGTTGTGTATAATTTCTTTCTGAATATGTATGTACACGTATACACACACCTCGAGATATTCCGTTCATGATGAATGATGAAAAAAGGCTGGGTATTTTCAAACAGGTGTGAACCCATCAGTTATTGGGGGCTTCAGTGGATTGTGTGCCTTTATGGGCGTTGCTGCGACCTTCTTGTCATCAAACTTGGTCAAGCGATTCGGCATTCTAAAGGTTGGATCTTGAATTTGTTTTCTCGTACTATAACGATTCGTCATTCTAAAGTTTGGTTCTTTCATTTGTTTGCTGAGTACTCTACCGATTCGGCATTGTAAAAGTTGGTTCTTGAATTTGTTTTCGTATACTTTAGCGATTTGGCATTCTAAAGATTGGCTCTTGAATTTGTTTTCTCGTGCTATAACGATTCGGCTTTCTAAAGGTTCATTCTTGAATTTGTTTTCTCGTACTATTGCTTGCCGTATCTTAATATGCAGTTTTTTTTCCCCTCAAGTCGTGTTCTTTTTCCTTCGGAAAAACGCAGGCAGGGGCGATGGGACTGTTTTTCCAAGCTTCGCTCCTGGGTGTGGCAGTTGCGGTGTATTGGAGCTCTTCTCTGTCTAACAAAAGCCCTCTTCTCTTCTTCTTGTGTATGATCGTAAGTTCCTTCTTCTTCTCCACTTCTCGGTTTTTTCTGATATTTGATGCATAGCTGAAACAACCATAGTTCAACAATGATGGGCGTCCGAAATTCAGTATCCGATCCGACCCGTGAGATGGGTATCCAAAATTCTAGTATCCGACATTATATGAGATGAGATCGGGCTATGGTGTGAAGAAAACCCGAAAATCGGCTTCAGGTTCAAGTTTAGGTTCGGGTTATTGGGTCCGAGACCTGGTATTATACTTGTGTATCTAACTGAGTTATGTCTCTAGGTTTAGGGATATTCCGTATAAACCTATTGATAGTCCGAAAATGTCGGATACCCGACCTGATCAATTCCTAATATATGCTTTTTGTTTTGAAAAAATTCGAAATTTTGTATTTAAACGGGTACAGCGACTATTGAAAATTATCTTGTGAGACACTCGGGTTCGGGATTGAGTAGCCCGAAAATCTCAGGTACTCGACGGTGGCCGCCCCGAAATCGTGTCGAAGATGAACGTATGTACGTATATTGACACGGATGAAATGAATCATGCAGGTGTTATCAAGGTTAGGGCACATGTCGTATGATGTAGTGGGAGCCCAGATCCTTCAAACCGGAATACCATCCTCGAAAGCGAACCTCATCGGTGCAACAGAGATTTCGGTGGCGAGTTTAGCGGAATCGGTGATGCTCGGGTTGGCCATAATCGCAAACGACCCTTCCCATTTCAGGTTCCTCGCCGTTTTATCGCTGTTTTCAGTCGTCGGGGCAACGGCCATCTTCTGCAGATTGCTGAGGAACCCGACGGAAGAACAAAGACGGCTCTTCGCTCTCAATCCTCTGTCGAACTCGTAAGAGAAAATAAAAATATCTCTGTATAGCAGTCTCCATGTATAAAGTTATTACATTACATTTTGAGTTTTTCAGACACTGAGTCTGTGTTACTGTATAGCTCTCTCCAGCAACATTCATCTAAGTGTACGCATTTTTATTAAAAACAAAACCCCAGGAAATTCTGGGGATAAGATTGTTCGGGTCAGAGATAAGTTTAACCGGGGATAGCTTAATTGGTTTACATTCATTACGCATTTTGTCTTACATTCATTCTAGCCAGCACTATGTATCGTTGGGCAAAACCACAATTTCAACTCTAGATGACTCTTAAACACCAGCAGGATAAAGAAATCCAAATGAAGGTTATCTATATCGCAGCAACCAAACATGCAAATGAACTGCGAAACAAAACGACAGGTCCACAAATCATATAACATCATGAGGCTTTTTCAGCAGGGCTTTGCATTCAGACAAAAGTGCATTTTTAGTATCTTACATGTTTCCATTTGCATTGCATGAACTACTTCACTACAACAAAAAAAGGAACCAAATTCTAGGCAAGGTGAAATCATCCAATGATGACGATGCAGGTGAAAGAGGTCGATGATCACGATTTTTTGGTTGATCCGAAGCCCCCGAATCCCATCATTTCTGCAACCTCGGGATCGATCTCTGGTTCCTCTTCCGCTATCTTCTCTTTCTGATCTCCCGATGCAACAAAAAAAAATCCGACCATCCATTAGTTCCAACTGCCACAACTGCAAATCCCCGATGTTGAAACGAAAAAAACGGTAGAAGGAAAAAAGAAAGGGGCAGGGACTTGCCTTCTTCTCTTTCTTCTTTTCCCGACGTTGCCGCCTTCTTTCTTCCTCCTCTTCTTGCTGTTTCCGTATACGTTCGTCGAGATCTATGCACATATTTATAAACAAGAAAGATCAAATATCCCAAGAGATACATTGGCGAGATCGGAGATGTGGATAACTGAAACTAATCTCACCTTGTTCAGTGAAGCTTCCGGGCGCTTTTCGTTTCTTTAAAACCTCAAACCGCTCCTGAACCTAAAACGAAATTTACATTCGAAATCGTTTCCTAAGTTAACCATATGCAAAAAACCAAGATTTAATGAAACAAAAACATCTGTTAAAAAAGATTTATACCTGCTGAAGTGATGACCTCTCAACCCGCATAGACATACCCAATGCCCTTTGATCTGCACGAAAAATCCCCAATCAAACAGGCCTTCATTAGCTAAAATCGCAACGAAAAACACGATCTGGGTTTTAATGTTCCTCCATCCAGGTGACTGTAAAGAATCAGGAACATCCTGATTTGCTAAGAGCTTGAATTCAATTTCATCCAAACGAAGCACGGGTTGCATTCAATTGGCCAAGAACTGGATCTTACGTTTTTTCCCATTTATGTGATCCAAGTAGTTGGCAGAATCTTTGACCACACACTCACAAACTGAACAGAAGTAACCGGCCTGCAGATATATGAAGACTATAAGCATATTCCGCATGATTACTACTCTCCTTAACAGGTCGATGGGTCAGGAATAACAGGTAGAAGGAGCCATACCTGCTGACTTAGAGGTGCTATTGGTGTAACGACCTGGAAATAAATTCGAGAATATTGGATATCAAATCACCATAGAAATGAAATTGCTTTCGTATCTGCTACAAGCAAAATTGATGTTGAAAATTGAAATCAAGTAACTTTTACATGATATAATCATGGAATAACAAGACAGAACATCATCATCATCATTCCATGAAATGACTGCTTTTTCAACTCTATTGGCAAGACAGCAGATACGGATTATTCTTAACACCAATCCCATCATGATATGGTCAGCAAATAAAGGGTATTCCCGAAATTTCATCTAGTTTTATACAAGCACAAATGTATCACCTATCATATTAACTACTCTCAAGCAATACTGACGTAAACATCAAGTAATTTTAGAAACGAAACACACATTTCATAGCCAAAACCAACATGCGAGAGACTCAAGAGTAGAGTCCTCCTCATCCAGAAAGAAACTGATAGAACATTAGATGCCATTCCATAGAGTAGACATTCTTACCGAAACCTAGACACTAATTACCGACCATGCATCCCTATCCTGGTAGAAAATACATCTGATAATAGGCAATTCACAAAATCTCTATCTCGCTTCATGGAAAAGAAAAACATGAGTTTCCCCACTCTTTACCCGGTAGAAAATATATCAGTTATCATTTCAGATACTTATGAGAACAAACGTCCCAATTAACATTGTAACATATGTTACATAGTGACAACCATCACAACCAACACTTGACGCTCAAAATATACTATTCCGAAACATTCAGCACACAGCAAGTGATTAGCAAAACTATCCTTGTTTTAAGGAAGAGTAGAGCTTTCAAACTTGCAATGAACAATTATACACTACACAATTATCACCGAAAAAAATTCAAGTATTATGTGTAAGCATATATGTAATGAACGAAACAAAGATGGATTATACGAAAATACGAAAAAAAATATGGTTAGGAGAGGATCAGATCACCTGCGTTTTGCCCAATCGAGATTCAAGGTCTACTTGATAATCTCTATGTTTCAAGGGCTGTCTCTGTACAGGAGGACCTTTGGCTGCAAAACAAGACTCATATCAGCAAAACTTAAGATGAAGATCAAACTAGTTGATTAAAAAACCAAAACTTTTCTACAATTGAATCAGAATAATTTAGCTTACACCGTGATTTAGACCGCTCTGCATCCTAAATCAAGGAGAAAACCCCCAAAAAAAAAAGAAGCTTTAGGTTGGAAATCAACAAATCAAAGTAAAAAAATAATAATGAGAAATTGCTACAAAGCCGACCTGCTTTTCGCGTTCACGGGCTCGTTCCCGGTACTCTTCAGGATCAAATTTCCTTCTAAAAGTATTATCAACCCCCGCAGGCTACAAAATCGAACCGAAACACATGGCAAAACCAGAATCATTACTTAACAAGAAATTCAAAGAGATATCACCAAAAAATCGAACACTCTTTCGGTAGCTAAAAGAAGAAAGGAGAAATGTGCCTGGAGGCCCTATACTTACACTGTTGCTAGAAGCCATTGTAGAAGAATAAAGTGAACAGGTTTACGAAGAGCAGAAGAAACGATTATTTGTTTGAGCAGAGAGAGAGAGAGAGAGAGATTTTGCCGAGAAATGAAAACCCTAAATCCGAATTCGATTTTCCGTCCGATGACTGTAAAATCTGGCATCTGGGCCTGTAGCTTCCGCTAAATAATTAATTAATTAATAAATGAGAATTCCACTATTATTTTCATTTTTCTTTTTTTCTTTTCCTTTTCTTTATTTTTTGGTTACTTTTCCAGCCAATTTTCACAATTATGAACTCCCTGTCGTTTTGGTATTTTCAAGGCGCACTCCCCGCAGTTTATCCAATTAGACGGGCTTAAAATTATCCCGGTTTGCATTCCTAATCATTTCTCTATTAAAATATTTTTTTAGATGAATAGTCAAATATTACCTTTTCATATATATATATTTTTAATTTAACAAAAAAACTATATTTAAATTCAAAATTTTCTAAATATCTATGAATCGTTAAAATTAATAATAATTATATACATAATCATAATTTTCATTAAAAAGTTTTGGATTTTGTTAACTAATACATTAGTTAGGTAACTACCATATATATCAGCATATTAGTTAATAGAATCCGAAAAATATTAACGAAAATGATGATTATATATGTAATTATTGTTAATTTTAATAATTCGTATAAATATTTGAAAATTTTTAAATTTAAATATAGTTTTTTATCAAATTAAAAATATGTGTATAAAAAAGTTTGACTAAATTCGTATAAAAAAATATTATTTTTCTAATTTAATATTATTATTTAATTTTAGTTGACACGGATATTATGTTTTTAATCCTTGCTTTATTTCATTCCAAGAGAAAATTCCAAAAAAAAAATCCCAATTTTTCAAAATCTGCCACAAAAAATCCCCATTTAAAAATTTGACAAATATAATCCCCAATTTGTCCACTAATTTTTTTTATTATATAAACAAAATTTGGATCCTAAAGTATATACATACATACGTACGTGTACGTAGATATGTGCGTGTGGGTTGACACGTGTTAAACTCCGAGATTCAAATTGGTATCTTGACAGGATCTGCTGCCTTGTTCCCAAGGGAACTTCCTAGAAAATCTGCTTCTATATATATATATATATTTTATATATATTTATATTCATGCATGTGCATACACATATATAAACTAATTTTGATTCTACTCTTATACATTTGTATAGGTCCGCCACTATATATATATATATATAAAGATAACAATTGGTTTGACTAATCGCGCTCTCTGAACTTCCTCGCTATCTTCCCGGAAATTAAAGAGAAATTTGCTTCCTATTGTATAATATTTTATATTATATATCTCAATACGTATAATTTCCTTTTTATTTCTTCATTTAAAACATTTTTTTAAAAGGAGATCATAATACGACATGGTCCATAGACAGCGCGTGGATGCAGAATTTCTGTCCCTTGTAAATAAAAAAAATGGTAATTTAAAATAAAAATTAGTAAATACGCGTCACCTATGCATGTAGTCTTTCATAAATGGTGATTTCCGTACGATTTTATGAATGAATATGTGATGGTGGTTGACTTCTGTATTTGTCAACGCCATGATAGTTACCGACTTTAATGCTTATATAGCAGTTAATTGTCTTACCAGTAAAGTTATATTATACCATATTTAAACATTTTTTATGAAATATTAATATACATATATATATATATATATGTTTGGTTAGTTGTGCATGTGGTATATATTTATAGTAAGATATAATACAATAAATAAAATAAAGTTATTTATTGTAGGCTGCTGCCAAGTGAGAATTATAACTATATTATAATTTCAATTGAGATGGTACTAATAATTTTAATATAATTCGCTTATATATTTATTGACGCGTTATATTTTAACTCTTAACATTAGAGAGCGTGCTTTGTTAACTACACTTTCCTCTAGCAAAGGAAGGTTCCTCGAAAGTCCAAAACCTTTATATATATATACACACACATTATGGATATGGGATCTGAGATTCATTATGCTTTATGCCTAAGCAGGAAACCCAAGGAAAAAACCCTTGTTTGTTTCCCGAGAAAATTCTCATTTTTTTTTCTCTCGCTTATTTTTTTAAAATATTATAATTTCCTCTTTGCAAACATTCCCATGATTCGAAACAGCCCTTTTCATAGGACTGATGGTTGCTTTCGCTTCGGAGCCCGAAAGTTCACGTTCAAGAAGTGAGCTTTTTTTGTCTTTTTTTATTTTTTGAATGGATTCTGAAGGGGCAGGGAAATTATTTGTTAAAATTCTATAGAATTTTATATATATATATAGAAATATATATATATATATAAAATTCTATATTGAAATATATATATATACACGAAAAAATAAATAACCTTTTTATGTTGTTTTTTTTATTATGAAGCGTGGTGAAGCAAGTAATGAGAGATCGGTTGATGAATCAATTCATGATTCAAATGGAGAAGACACTCAGAAACATAGTAAGTCACGGTTTAATTAACTTGATTTATCAATTAATTACGCAATTAATCCTTAATCACGGGGTTAAATCGGTAATTACGTCCTCCTAAGCCTCCAAGTTTGACCACTTTCTGTCCCCTTCCAAAAATTTATTGGGCGGCTCATCATCCACAGTGGTCCTCCAAGTGTCTGTGCATATATTATTGGGAATTTGATTATATTTCCATTTATTTAATGTTACAAAATTAATTTCTAACGATCGAATTTGGAATTTAATTTTTTTTTATAGAAATTGATTTTTTTTTACATGTATCACGATTTGTCTTGCAAAGTTCTCATCAGAACGTTTCTTCGATTAGGTTCGAGAAGAGTTGGATCGAAGGCTTCAACCGTTTCTCTCTTCATTGGAAAGGTTCGTTCTTTGGATTTCCGATGTGGGACGAAAAAATCCACTTTTTATTTTATTTTATTTTAGATGATGCAGTTACTGATTATTGCTTTTTTTTTAAATCTTACTCAAACGCAGATCGCCATCATCGTCGGTCCCGTACGAGCGGTCGCGTCTCGAGACGCGGGGGCCGCGATATGAGCTGCGTTTCATCAACTCGCTGCCTCCGTCGATCTTCACCGGAGGCAGGATCGAAGCCGAGGACGGCTCTCCCATCCAGATCGAGCTGGTTGACGCCATCACGAACTCACGCGTCTCGACGGGGCCTCTATCTTCGGCGCGTGTCGAGGTTGTGGCGTTGGACGGCGATTTCACCGCGGAAATCTGGGATTCCGACGAGTTCAGCCGGAATATTCTCCAGCAACGCCAGGGAAAACGGCCGTTGATCACAGGGGATCTCACGTTGACACTAAAGGATGGCGTCGGAATCGTTGAAGGCGATGTCGTGTTCACCGATAACTCGAGTTGGACCCGAAGCCGGAAGTTCCGGTTAGGGGTCCGAGCGGTTCGAGGAGGAGTCATGGAAGGTCGAAGCGAACCATTTGTGTGCAAAGATCAACGCGGCGAATGTATGTATTCTTTGGATTAGATCGTATGCAACCTCGATTCACAGGATTTCATGATTGGACATCGTAATCTGAGTACAAACATGATTGTGTGATTGCCCTGTGGTTTATACTGTTAATTTCTTCATGGAAGTTCCTCTATTTGATATTTGTACCATCGATGATTGATACTACGAATTTCACCATGAACATTTCAACATGTTGTGCTGTAATCTTTCGCTCTCTTCGATTCGATCCTTTGGCTTGAAGATTCTGAGTGTTTCGGTATGTTCTTTTTGCAGCTTACAAGAAACACTACTATCCATCTCCCAATGATGAAGTGTGGAGGTTGGAGAAGATCGCGAAAGATGGAGTTTTCGCGTCGCGGTTGGCAGAACAAAGGATTCTCACCGTCAAGGACTTGCGTCGCAAACTCGCGATGAACCCGAATTCCTTACGAGACGTAAGCCCAAACAATTTCATCTCATCAAATTCTTGGGATGGTGACCAAAGATGTTCGGTTAAGATCATAGATTGGTGACTCTGTTTTTGTTTTCGTTACAGATACTGGGTGCAGGGACATCGAACAAGATATGGGAGGCCATTGTAACGCATGCTATGCGTTGCGTTTTGGACGAGACCGAGTTCTACACCTACACATCGCTCGCTCGGGCCGACGTTCTTCTCCTTAACTCTGTTTTCGAAGTCTTGAAAGTTTCATTCCAAGGGGAAGCTTTTCAGAATGTTGATCATCTTAATTATGGCGAAAAGGTTTTAGTGGATTCAAACAATTTTCTGCTACATCGATATTGGATTTATAGCTTCTGTCTTACGATTATTCACCCGTGGGTTTTTCAGGTATTTTTGGAAGAAGTGAAACGCGAAGCCTACGAAAACACTAGCAGTTTCGAACGGGTTAGCGAATGGGCATTCTTCAATCCTCCACCGAGGTCCTTACCAGTTAGCCTTGCAGCTCCTGGATCACATCACATGGACTTCCAAGGTACTGTCTAGGTCAAGACATGACTGTTTTCGTTGTTGTTCGAGAGTTAGAACTAGGAAGGAGTTCCAAATGAACCGTTTCAATGTCTGATCCGACACGATTTCCCCTCTGTTTCACAGGAAATCTAATGCATTTTGATGTCTCGGGTCAACCAGAGAGGATGTTGAGTTTTGAGAAGTACTCAGGTTCATCTGCTCCTCCAACGTTTCAAATCAACGACCAGTTCTCGCATGTCATCTCCTCGGCTCTCAGGAACAGCTTCAGAGCCCGAGAGCCGAACAATCTGCAAATCGCGGTAACGGGTCAGGTCGAAAACGGGGAAAACGCTGAACAGTCTCACGTCATGACAATGATGACATGGTCACCTGGTTCGTCGTCGTGGGAGCAACAACAGTACGACAACTTGTACGCCTCTCGTACGGACGAGCTCGGTGTATGTTCGGGTTTCGATATATGTGTCGCCAGAATCATCGGATCTCCGAGAGCTCGATGGTGTAAAATCAGAGCCGCGCTCAAGTTCCGTGAAGTTTACACAGCCGCCAGGAACGGACGAAGGGGCTATAAGCCCTACTAGATTCGGTGGTTTCTTGCATCGCAAGAAATCTTTTTATATGTGTGTAACTTATACTTTTTCTTCTTCTTAATAGTAGAATAAGTGATAGGAGGAAACACAGTCAAGAAGAAAAAAAAAAGAATAGGGAATAGGGAATTGAATCCCGGCCATTGAATCCATGAATGGTGGTGACAGGGTGATCAAGTTAGGCACTTGCGTGTTCTTGTCTGTATTATAATTGTTTGCAAGAATCAACATGTGTAACTATATATATATAGATAGATGTGTTTGATATTTGTTTTACATGAATTCCCCCCATTGAGGGCATGCTTATCTGTTTTTATCTACACTATCTTTTCTCTACAATGAAATGGCTTCTCAAAACAGTTATATGTCCGTACGAAGAAACAGTTCTGCAAGATACGGATAAGTAGTTCCATAACAACAGGAAGCAAACTTTATTACAAGTCAATTAACTGATTACTATTGTCTGGTTCTTCATCGTACTTCACCGTTACCGGTCTGCTAATCAGTCTCCAATACCCTGTATCGTAATACTCCTTCATCCTCTGCTCCTCAGCCTTTGAGAACATCTTCGATATCTGGCCGTTATCTTGAGATATCGAACTCTCGGAAAGACGAACACCGCATTCTATAATCTCGGAACAAGAGCAGCTGAACTCAAAAATCATCTCACCGCGGGTAGATTCGGAATCAACGAAGAAAGCAGTGTCGAGTATGTAAATATGATCAGCTTGAAGTGGATAAGGATGTATCTTCGGCCATTCATACACGATATCGAGATCATCGTGTTTGTTTCTAAAGCGACAAGTCACGCTTAGACCTTTCAAAAACCAAACTTTCTGCCTCGGTTCCGTGGCCAGGACAAGACAAGGCTTGAATCCCGAGAATGTCTGAAGGGGGTTTCGGATGGTTATGGCGCTTCCTCTGGCTCGGTGAGTGAAGCATTCGGGCACTTCTCCACCCGGAAACAAACTGTGTTTGCAAGCCATTTGCCGAATGTGTTCTCGGGTTTCTTTGTCGAGTTTCAGACAGTTTCCCAGATGGAGACTGATCTCTGGACTGCTAAACGAATTCGGTATTCTCTCGAGCGATCCACAACCGCTTGCCATCAGGTACATGAGCGAATCTGGAAGGTTTGGGACCGAAACGAGGTTTCTGCAGTTGAAGAGGATCAGGCAACGGAGCTGCAAAAGACTGTCGATGCTTTTTGGAGTTCTCTTCATGTCGTTTGATGACATGTTTAGCGCTGTCGGAGAAGTAGAATCCTTCCGAGGCAGATTTGTCGGAAAACTCTTATCGTTGATATTGTGTAATCTCAGTATCAAGCAAAAGATCTGGAAGATTTCAGCCGGGAATCGAATGACGTTCTTACAGCCGGAAAAGTCCAGTTCTTCAAGACGTTTCAGCTTCGAAATGTTTGGAGATACGTATTTAAGATCCTTGCAGTATCTCATCCGTAGTGACTGAAGCCGAGAGAGATTCCCGACCTGAGAAGGAACTTCTTCTATTCTTGTCAGACCTAGTTCAAGAACTTCCACAGTTGTTGGAACAAGTGGGAATGTCTTAAGATTTTGACAACCAGACATATCGAGTCTGTTCAAACAAGACCAAAGCATTATCGATGCAGGCACTCGTTCTATACCGGTACCTCTCAGAAATATCTTTATAACATTCCTCGAAATCTCGGGAAAAATTCTCAATCTCGGGCATCTTTTGAGATCGAGGTAAGAGAGTGATTCCAAGTTGACGTCGGCCGGAAAGGCCTCGAGATTTAGGCATCCCTCCATGTGAAGAAACATCAAGCTCTTAAGATTGCAGATCGAGGAAGGAAGCGTGACTAAACTCTCGCAGTGATCGAGATACAAGACCTCGAGATTCGTCGCGTTTGAAAGGTTCGGAATCTCTTCCAAGTTCTTGGACCCTCTCAGATCCATCCATTTCAGACTTGCAAGCGACTGAAACATAAGACAAGAACATCAAGTATCATAACCAGAAACCTAAACACATAATGCAAGAAGAAGACACTTACTTGAGGCCCTTCCCATAGCTTCTGGAGCTTGCTATTTCGCATGTCGAGTTCGACGAGAAATTCCGGGCGAAACCTGGAAGGCATAGACTTCATCGGATAGGCATCCCAATGCAGTATCCTGAGTTTCCGAGGCAGGCATTCCAAACTGCGAGCCGAATGCAATCTGACTTTGTCGGATAATAAATTGTTAAAGAATCGCAGAAACAGAAGGCTCGGCATCTTCTCGAAAGCTCCCTCGTTTATATACAATTCCTCGACTTCTGACAGGTCCAGAGATATCCCTAAAACAGCTCCTGTTCCCTGAAAACATACCATATCTTAAGACAGATATCTTTCAGCTAATACTTTGAACTGAGTTTGAGCTTATGTCAGGGGAGGCAGAGTGTGTATGTATATACATATATATAGACAGACTTACCGTATTATCGGCAAATACATCACAAATCTCCTTAGCATTCATCAAGAACTGGCGTTTCCCAGGCTCATTAATAGACTGTCGACGAACAATCTCTTTGCCCATCTGCTGCAGCAAGTGATGCATCACTACATAGTTTCCCGATGTTATGTGTAGGAGAGATTTATCGGCTAAGATTTTGAGGCCGAAACCCGCGTCCAAGTCAGTGTTTCCGAGAAATGTAACTGGCCTTTTCGCCGCTGAACAGACAGGCGACGTGAAGGAATATAACTTTATCTTTATCGTGTAAGCCATCGTATCCGATCCTTAGCACTTTCTCGATCTTACCATCGAGACTGGTCCTAAGCCTCGGCAGTGAAAGCTTCCACTCTTCCACGGTCTTCCCTTGCAGCGATGAACCTAAAACGCTGAGACACAGAGGGAGATGACCTGCGAGATCTGCGATTTCAGCGGCGATTCTGAGAAAATCTTCCGGAGGTTGAGAGTTTCGTCTGAAAGCGGACTGGCAGAATATCTGCAGAGCCTCTTCTCTGGACGGGAAACCAACCTCATATATATGATCGATCCCGTGTGATCTCAAGAGCTGTTTATCTTTCGTGGTAATGATGATTCTGCTTCCAGACCCGAACCAGCGAGTTTGGTTAGCCAAGGCGGTTAGCTGATCGAGTTCATCGACATCATCAAGAACAAGAATGACCTTCTTGTCTTTCAGCCTGTCTTGTGCTACACCCAGATGCTGTATCCTCATGTCCCTTTGGTCGGAGATTTCAGACAGAAGTCGTTCTTGCAGGCGGAATTTCGAGCTGTAGTCGTCGAGGTCGGTTCTCCTGTAACTTCCCCTGACATTCTCCATGAAAATCCGAACCTGAAAGTTTCCCGAGATTCGGTCATATAAAGATCTAGCGATCGTTGTCTTGCCGATCCCTGCAGGACCCCAAATACCAATCATCCTCACTTCAATGGAGTTCATACACAACAATGGATTCATGTTTCTGATATGAGTTTCCATCCCGACGACTCCATCGAAATCTCTCGACCGCGTCGAGTTCAACTCCTTCACTACATGTACCGTGATCTTCTCGATCATCTCCGCTTCACTGTCCCTGCCAAGACAATGGAAAAACCGTTCATAAACCGATCGACAACGTTTCGAAGAATCTACGGAAAGAATCATACCATTTCTGAGAATGAAATCCAGCGATACTCGCCACTTCTGTCAAAGCTCGGCTCCATCTTCTCCTCTCCTCCTCCGTTTTTCCGACACAGGCTTCCTCGAACGCCGCCGAGACATCTCCTGTCTGTTTTCTCACATCGGAAGGGTCCACTTCGTAGAAGATGGACATAACTGTCTTTCCTGCAACTTCCCTGCACTTCAATATCTGCAGCAACTCGTCCAAGCACCACCTCGAAGAAGCGTAATTCCTCGAGAGAACGACGATTGAGATCCTCGAATCTTCGATTGCTCTCACGATCTCGTCGCCTATAGTTTTGCTCCTACTGATCTCATTGTCTACGAATACCTGGATTCCATGGCGTTTGAATTCTTTTAGAAAGTGACTGAGAAAGTTCCTTCTGACATCTTTCCCGCAAAAGCTTGGGAAGACATCGTATCTCCAAGCCATGACAGAAGCAGACAGAGAATGGTTTCTTTCTTGCCTGAGAAGATGTATCATATGGTTAATATATATGGTTAATATTGGAATTACAACCCTCGTCGTCGTTGCGTGATGTAACTCCCTTATAAAATATATATATATATGGTTAATAACCGAAAAATGAACCGATCTGAACCAAATGATCAAATCGAATTTAACTCCAAACAAATTAGACCCGAACCAAACCGAAACATATAAAAAATTATCGAAAAAACTACAAATTTCTTTCAAAAACTAGTATTTTGATTAAAAAAAAAACAAAACTACACAAAATTAAATTGAAATACAATCAAACAGACTCGAATTCGATGTAAAATTGAATGACTATCGATTTTTTTAAACCGAAATAACCAAACTCAAAGATATACTGATCAAATCTTAAACTGGCACTCCATCCAATCACACAGACACGTACACATTTGCCGTATTAAAACCGGTAAAGAACTGATAACAATAATGTGGTCAACAAGGGGTTGACTTCTGGTCTCTCGTCTCATGACCGTCACTTACATTCTATGGTCAAACAAGTTTGTTCCACTTTCTTCAAAATTGGATCTTCAGTTGAATTTTTCATGTGACAAATCTACGACGACGGTGATTGAATTCTAACAGTAACGAAGAAGATTTATAAACATTAATTTTTTTCCTTTAACAAAAAAAAGTTTTGAAAAATTAGTTTTTTTTTTAAATATTAAGAATTTTCCTAAAAGTTGGTATCGTAATGGTAGGTCGGTTCGCTTCCTCAAAACCGACCCGTCTAAAATTTCTGAACAAGATTAATTTTTAAAAAACTAAATTTTCTGGAATCAAACCGAATTTTTAAAAAAAATCAAAAAACCGTTTTTTTTAAATCTATTTTTTTAATAAAATCGGAACCAAATCAAATATAATATAATAAGTGATTGATATCTATTTTTATAAAATCGGAGGGAACCATTTTTTACTCTGAACCAAATACCCTAACGCCCACATCTATCTAGAGACAGTTATTTCCAAACAGGTATTAAATTTCCTCAAATTCACGTGTATATATATATATATATATTATACAAGCTCATGGAAATTTATTGGGAAAAAAAAACGAATTTAGGCGGGAACAAAACGGCGTCGCCTTAAGTTGAAATTTCTGTTTTACCCCGATAGTTTTATAAAATTTGAAATTCTTCCCCACATTTTGATTAAATGTTCGGTTTTGTCCCTGAGAGTGAAATGGTTTTATAGCATCATTAGCATGCGTGATGGGTCTAATCTCTCTTCCGTAACGGAATTTTGAAATCTCTCTTCCGAATCGTCGGAATTTGGTGACGAGAGGAAAACCATGTCGCAGAGGACGAGCTGGAGGACGGAGGTACGGCGGAGCCACTACAAGGCGGTGGTCGACGGCGATAAGGGACGGCGGAGGAGAGAGGATGAGATGGTTGAGATCCGCAAGGCCAAGAGAGATGAGTGTCTCGCGAAGAAGCGGCGCGAGAGTACTCCTAACGCTCTCTCCGTTGAGAAGGTCAGTTCTCTGTTGATCTCGTCCTTTCTGTTCGATCAGTTCTTGTAGTGATCGTCACGGAATCCGGAGATTGATGAGTTCGCGGCTCATGGCGAGTTCGGTTTGCGTTGATTGGGCTGTGATTCTCAGTATGGCTTGGGTTTATTATATGTCATTCTTCTGGTTTCGGAATCTGTGAAATGAGCCGTTCGATTACGAGATTTTAATTTCGATTTCAGTAGATTGTGTATGTCCTGAGTTATGATTTTGGCCCTTCCAACTTCTGAAAATCTTTATCTCTAAAATTTTAATTCTGATGTTTGAATTCTCCAAGTATGTGAATTGGATTTTGGCTCCCGATGATTTTGGTTGTTCTGAAATCTTGTTTTGTTGCTTGTTGAAATACTCAGAATGAGCTACAAAAGTTTGGATTTCTGTTTCTGAAGAATATGAATGTTCTCAAACTGGATTTGCTGCTTGGAATCTTCATAATGAGCTATGAAGCTCTTGCTGTTGGAATTTGATTGAATCTGATCGATGCTGGAATGTTTGATTGATTACAGTTGGAATGTTTTCCGACTCTGGTAGCTTATGTTTGGTCGGACAATAAGGATTTGCTGCTTGAGGCTACAACTCAGATCAGAGCATCACTTTGTAGTGGTAAGAAATTTACCTGTTAAATCATGTATTAACGTTTTGCCCTTTGTTTTGTCAAACTGCAAATGTGCTACATGAACCATAGCAACGTTTTTCCCATTTCTAATGCAAATGAACTTATATAGTAATGTCTTAGCTGTATTGTTGTAATTGCTACATTGAGCTCTAGCAATGTTATTTTGATGTGAAAGTTAAGTTGTAGAAATGTGTTCATCATTGCTAATCGTAAACTGCAAATGAGCTTGTATAGTAACTCCATTGCTGTAAATGTTGTTGCTTTGTGAACTATAGCAATGCCAATTTGTATGTGTATCTTTCAGCTATAAAAATGTTTTTGCCATTTCTAATGCTAAATTTGCAAATGGTTCTATAGTGTTGTCTTTCCTATATACGTGGCATTGCTATATTAATGTGTTTTTTTAATCAGTTATTGCAGCATGAGCAATAGAAACATCTTTGTTTTACATGATTTTTTTGGTAGAAAGTTTTGCTGTACGTGTTGAAGAAGTTATACAGGCTGGTTTAGTTCCACGATTCGTGGAGTTCCTCATATGGGATGACTTTCCACAGCTTCAAGTAAGCTTCTGTTACACGTTCTGAATACTTTAGGGCAACATTGACAATCTAGACATTTCATGAAACAAATTCTGTAGTTTGAAGCTGCTTGGGCTCTTACAAATATTGCATCTGGCACATCTGAAAACACTGAAGTAGTGATTGATCATGGTGCTGTTCCAATACTGGTGAGACTTCTCAACTCGCCAAACAATGATGTCCGTGAGCAGGTACGCATGTCAAAAGAGAAACCCTCTATAAAAAAATGATAAATAAGGAAAAACACTAAGAAAGTATCAATAGGTTAAGTAGATTAAAAACAAAATCATAAAAATGCTAGTTTTGTACTAGAAAAGGGCAAAAGGAGTTCTAAACAAGAGAGATATTTAAAATTTTTGTTGTTTTGACATCTGTTTCTTATTTCAATCGATCATTTTATTATGATGAAGTCCAAATGACCACCTTCTTAAAATTCGAGTTTATTTTCATGTACTTGATGCACTTCAGCTGCTAAACTCTCTTATTTCTACAACCATCAATGGCAGCCACTAATGCAACATTGCTCATTAATATAGAGTAACCTAACTGCCCCCCCATAGCACACTATCATCCAGGGTCATCTGTCTTGTCGAGTTTGTTCTTCCAATTTTTCTTCATTCATTTTCAGCTTTTATGATTGCAGCTCATCTGTTTGTTGTCTTCTTGAAAAATCAGGCTGTCTGGGCATTGGGAAATATTTCAGGGGACTCTCCTAGATGCCGTGATATAGTCCTGGGACATGGCGCTCTGCTTCCTCTGTTATTGCAATTAGATGACAGCCCTAGACTCTCTTTGCTTAGAAATGCAAGTTGGACTTTGTCAAACTTCTTCAGGGGAAAGCCTCAGCCTCCATTGGATCGTGTAAGTCTTTGAAACAAAAAGACCTTTTGATTTAACAGAATGAGTTTTGGTCTATTTCCAAAGTTTATGGAATTTTAGGTTTCTGCCTATATACCCTTGTGGACATAATATACATAAATCAACTTCTGCAATTGAGACGGTTAATAGTGATTAGTCCAAGTTCAAGGTGAAGAACATCAGTGAGTTACCGAGCTGTTAGTATCATGGCAATATAAATTTAGATAATGTTGGTCATATGGTCCGGTATAAGGACACTTTTATCTTTTGGCCTGAGCTTCATATATATATATATACACACACACTCTCATGTTCTCTCAATGTTTGTCTGATCTTAACTTAGCATAACCCTGTTGTCAGAAAGTGTACAAAAGGCCATATTGACGTTAAACTCGCTGGATCTAGCCATAAGCTTTTTGGTTTGGGAATAGATGAGAATTATTTACCTATTCACTCCTTATTAATCATCTCATTTCGCATGCGCCCGCAGGTGAGTGCTGTGTTTCCAGCTCTAGCTCGTCTCATTCGGTCAGACGACAAGGAAGTCTTGACCAATGCGTGTTGGGCTCTGTCGTATCTATCCGATGGTACAAATGAGAAGATCCAAGCTATAATTGAAGCCAAACTTTGTGCACGACTTATCGGTCTTATGGCGTGAGTGTCAAAGAGTTTCTCTTGCCATTAAATCTGAAATCACAAATGATATCATACTGATGTTTTCTTTGCTCTCTCAACAGCCACTCTTCGCCATCAGTTGTCCTTCCTGCTCTTCGCACCATTGGAAACATTGTAACCGGTGACGATATTCAGACTCAGGTAAATATCTGACAAATTATAGAGTTGGTCTTATGTCTGTTTTCTTATTTTCGCTCGAGTGCTTTTTCTCTGTAGTTTTCACATTAGTCTTTAATTAGCTACTTTTGTTTCTGAATCTCTTAGCTTGTCATTGACCTTCATGCGCTCCCATGCTTTCTGAAACTTCTGAGGGAACCCTATAACAAGACCATCAAGAAGGAAGCCTGTTGGGCGATCTCTAACATCACAGCCGGTGATAGAAAACAGATTCAGGTTAGCTCAGATATATAACATCTAAACATCTCTTTAGAAAATATCAGCATGTGCACAAAATTCAGTGCTGAATATCTGGTTGGGTTGCTCGTTTTTTCTTCTGCAGGCTGTATTCGATGCTGATATATGTCCTGTACTTATTAATCTGCTACGAAATGCTGAATGTGATGTTAAGAAAGAGGCTGCTTGGGTAATCTGCAATGCTACCCTAGGAGGTTGTGACAGGCAAATCACGTACGTAAAATAGAACTCACTGCATTACTCCTTGAATGCTTTTTCCTTTTGTTGGAAATGTTGATTTGCATTCCAAAATAAACCTTTCTTACGGAGTTAGTTTACGTCACATATGGACTAGATTGCTTATAGGTATATGAAATAGTTGGAACAATGAAACCTTATTTCCAAGAGGCTAAAAACCAGATGTGTTACCATTATGGTTAACATCACTTTCCCGTTTGATTCGCTTAATAATGTGAAAATGTTTGAATCAAATACTAATCTATATATTACTCAGAGGACAGAGTTGGATATGTATAGAGTTGAGAACTGGATACAAAAATCAAATATGTACTAGACCGCTCCTGTAAGAGGATATACAAGTCTGTTATTTTTTGTTTATCTTGCCTAGATTCGGGTTGATGCTGACATATTTCTTTTTTTACGTTTTGGTTTTGCTCTTGTCAAATATCATGTGTTTTCCATGAATTTCTTTGCAGACTCCTTGTAGACCAAGGCTGCATTGAACCACTGTGCAATCTCCTCACATGCTCGGATCCTGACATCATAATGATTTGTTTACGAGCCCTCGAGAAGATACTGAAAGTGGGACAAAGTTTGTGTCAGGATGCAGAAGTAAATGTCAATCCGCATGCCCAGATGATAGAGGATGTCGAGGGGTTGGATAAAATCGAGAGCCTGCAGTCTCATGACAACGAAAACATCTACGACATGGCGGTGAAGATTCTAGAAACGTATTGGCTGGAGGAAGGAGAAGAAGGACAACAAGACATGATGGTTTTCACCACTGATGACGATACCGAGTAGCATGTTCACCGCTTGCTGATAAAATCTCACTACCCTCTGATACTTTCAGTGGGGAAAATACCGAGAGACCCTAAAAGGTATGAACGAGTACTCATTCACGGTTTTTCTCCCGTGCTGGCGAATTTAGCCGTCACCTGCAACAGTTATGCATATTTCATTTTAAGTTAGGAATGTGGCCAAATCTATATATATATATATATATCCAACAGTTTTAAAGATTTTTTTAAAAGTTGTGATGATGATGTTGATTCAGGGAGGAGGTTAGAATCTGAAGATCATAGTTCACAGCATATAAGACTCCATGTTTCTGCTGTGCATTATTTTCACAAGGATCAGAGTTCGTAGGCCTACTGAAAAAAAAAAGGTTAGAGAGATTCCATTGATTGCTTTGGTACTTTGAGAAATTCTGGTATAGTAATGATAACGTGTTACTTACAATAATTCCCTGTGGGTAATTAGCCATCACTTGATGATTAGCAGATTCAGAATGTTAAAGAGTTTCTTTCTTTTTTTTCTTTTTTTTTGTACGAACAACCTTAAAACGATTTGGTACCTTCTTCCTAAGGTTTCTCGAAATTCACAGCTTCTACTCAGTTATTTTGAAATGAGATTGAGTGTATGTTTTATAGGTTGTAGGGAAACACCGTCCTGATGACAAATCAAGAACAAAGCGTTTAGAAAGGTGAATAGTATAGTTTCCAATATGGCTAACATTTAAGAATCTATGGAATTCTCATATGCAAGTTTGATTAGCATGCCGCCACAGAACATGGACAAAAAACTCGAACGACAAGCAAGTAAAACATCCAAAGTAGTGAAGGTCCAAGCTCACTGCCATGGCCAGGACAATAATGCAATTTAACCAAGGACGAGGAAATATTTTCATACCTCTTTTTGTTGTCTCAAGCGTTTCAAATACGTTGACTGTTTCTTTCGGAATTCCATAGAAAGATTTTGAAGATCAGTAGCAAGAGATCGCTGTTATCACAAACATAAGATTCATTACACCTAGATGACTACGAAAAATATCCCAACGGGAAAGATGTGTTGACGAGAATCGGCAGTCTATTCAAGTATACTACCTACCTGCACGTTTTTCCGGACATTAGAATCTTCAGAATAGGGAAAATGTTAGGCTTTTCGGGCGATGATTTCATTGTTGAATCGAGTGCCCGGGGATTTTGGGTATCCAATCCTAAACCAAAGGACAAGCCGTTGCACGGGAGTCCGAGCGATCATGGCTCGAATTATAAGATTCGGTATCTGACTCCGAATTCAAGTCCATCGGATATCCAAATTTCAGATACCTCAAATACGAGGATGGTGAAAGCGACGGTGACACGTGTCAGAAAAAGAGAGAATATCATCGGAAATGTAATCCTCATTTCTGGAATCAATAGTGTTCGTTAGTCGTTACAACATTATGTATATGCATATGCCACTCTCTCAATGATCGGCAGAATGATACCTTGATCCAACCGGGATACAAAGGAGCAAAAAAGAGAAGATCACTTTCTTCTTCTGGGTGTAAAAAAGGAATAAAGAATGATGAACAAAGTCACTAGACGTGTGTTTTGTGTTTTTTTTCCCCTAAAGACGGGGGGAATGAATTCAGAACAATATCTCCTTGAGGATTAAGAGAATGAGCATGATGAAGCAGAGGATGACAAGCACAGTGGCGCACTTCACCATTCCTCCTTGCTTTTGTGTTCGTTCTGCCTGTCATTGTAAAAACATAAACATAAAACGATTTTTGGTGGGGTTTTTAGAGAGAGAGGATGGGCCACTGATAAGATTGATTACCTTTTCCAGCTGTTTGAGGCCGTCCTCAACCGTGCTTGCAACATTTTGGATGTTATAGTCTATCCTATCTACTATCGTCCCCTGCCACAATAACAACACTGTGTTTCGTAAACTGTAAGGCTGGGGCGTGGATACCCGATTCTGTGGATATCCGAAATTCAGAAACTCGAGCCCCCATTAGTATGAGTTCAGAATCCTGGCCTCCGGGAACCCGAGTTTTGGGTTCGAAGTCAGGTTTCGTCCGTCCATTACCCAAAGCGGAGGGGCAGTAGGGGAGAGAGTGGGTAGTGCCGAGCCGAGGGTGAGGGTGGAGAGAGGCACGGCGAGGGGTGGTAAGAGGCGACACTCGTTTAGGGTTTTTTTCCAAGGGGGTGAGCGGTGAGGGGCAATTCAGGGATTTGTAAAAGTAAATCCCTTACAAGTCTCGCATTTAGGCGCCTCGCTGTCGCTAGCTGCCCGCCCGCCTCGCCTCCTCACCCTCACTCTCTCTCCTCGCCACCTCACCTGAACTTCGACAACCGTCTCACATCCCTCACCTTCTGGCCAGATATCCTGTGGGTACCCAAGCACTTTGCCGCACCCCACAGGTAGGTGCTTGAAGCTCGGGTATCCGACCGTCACAAGACCAAGGTCAGGTGACTCGACATAGAAACCCGAGAAGTTGAGGCCGAGATCGGGTAAGCCGAAAAAGTCAGGTACCCTACCTACGGCCACCCCTAGCTTAAAGTTAATTTGCCAGCAGAAGTTATTTCCGAAGCCAGATGAACAGAAGATGAAGCTTATAGTGTTACCTGGTCTATCACGAGTACAGAGAGATCCTTCATTATCTGAGCGAGCTCATTCACTGATTCTACAACCTATGGATGACATTGAACAAAGATAAAGAAACGAGATTTAAGAACTATTGATGATCGATGATCAAAGAATAAGAACAGAGGGCAAGTAATACTTGCCTGTTGGATCTCTTTCTCCCTCTCTACTGAGAGTTCTTCACTCTTTTTTATCTTCGCCATTTGACGATCAGTGAATAACTGAAATGAACACACACACATGTATAACATTAATATAACGATGAAGTCACACGGATGTAGTGATAGATTGCTTGAATATGATACCTGTATGGGAGAGACATACCATATCGTCAAACTCGTCTTCTTCTTCTCTAGATTTGCTTCCATTTAGATTCATCTCTAAATCCACACCGTCCTGATGACAAATCAAGAACAAAGCGTTTAGAAAGGTGAATAGTATAGTTTCCAATATGGCTAACATTTAAGAATCTATGGAATTCTCATATGCAAGTTTGATTAGCATGCCGCCACAGAACATGGACAAAAAACTCGAACGACAAGCAAGTAAAACATCCAAAGTAGTGAAGGTCCAAGCTCACTGCCATGGCCAGGACAATAATGCAATTTAACCAAGGACGAGGAAATATTTTCATACCTCTTTTTGTTGTCTCAAGCGTTTCAAATACGTTGACTGTTTCTTTCGGAATTCCATAGAAAGATTTTGAAGATCAGTAGCAAGAGATCGCTGTTATCACAAACATAAGATTCATTACACCTAGATGACTACGAAAAATATCCCAACGGGAAAGATGTGTTGACGAGAATCGGCAGTCTATTCAAGTATACTACCTACCTGCACGTTTTTCCGGACATTAGAATCTTCAGAAGGTCCAGCTGAAGAAAGCCTCTGCAGTTGCTTCTCCGATTTCCTCAATAGATTAGTTACCTCTTGTGTCAAAGACTCAATTTTATGTTGATCTTCTTTACCATCCCCGAAAGAAGGCATTAACGCCTTAGCATGAGCCTTTCCCAACTCAACGATTCTTGTCCTCGCACGCTGTATGTTCACAGCAATCTCCTCAGAGACATCAACCCAAGCTGGTGGCAATCCCACTGTCAATGCCCCTCTACTTGGACACAGAGGGGGAAAAACAGAGAACTTCAGCTAACCAGACAGATGATAGAAGTTAATTTCAACTACATGTTTCAAACTTTCAACTTCTTGTTCAGTACCTGAATCATCTAATGGATATAGTTATAATCACTACAACCACTGTTTTCTTGCAGATCATGTACCACAAACTATACATCTAAACAACAAAAGATTGTTTCAAGATTTGATCGTCTGAATTATGGGTGACAAGTAAAACTGCAGTAGATTTATTGTGCATGCCCCAAGATCCTCAACAAGCTGAAGCTTCAATATCAATTCTATGAATGTTAGCCGTTGTGTTTTGTATCAAATCCAAAACAAACAAGCTTGCTCTGCGATAATTCAGTTGAAGATCCACACTTTCTTGCACCGCCAACATTGCAGCTCAAATTCATCAGAGCTAACATTAACTCTCTACAACCACCAAGCTAAAAGCATTTCGCCGAGAGGGGGAGGGGGGGGAGAAAGCACCTGGAATTCCCAGGATCCTCAGTACTAACTGGAGCATAGGAGCGATTCGGATTCAGGAGAGATGTACTCGCCATCTCAATCACCGGGCCTACACCGGATCGCTTTCCCGTCAATGAATTCTTCTCTGTCGCCGTTGATGACGAAGATGATCCCACCGGACCACGGACACTCCTCAGAGAATCCCTATATTTCCTGAACAGCAGTGTACGGCTCCTCGTCGCCATTACAGCCGAACAAAAACCCTAGAAATCTCAATACAGCATCCAAATTGAGAAGAAACTAGAAACCGGTGTCCAGAAATCGGCTTCGACTATGGATCGGCAACTGCAGATCTGGGCGCTATCGTGGCTTCATCATAGTCCGACGGCGGTCGTAGGATTTTCGCGGCAGATCGCCGGCGAGATCGAAATCCTTCGACGGGAAACAAAATGACTACTCTACGGACAGAAAATTTCAATTGTCCCCGCAAAATTAAAATTAAAATGATTAAAATTTTAAAAAGCTTTTGTAAAAGCAAGAATGGAGAAAAAGAGAGATTACTTACTCCCAAGGGCAAAAAAAGGGAGAAAAAACGTAAATGCTTCTCGATAAAGAAAACCAATGAAAATATGCCACGTATCACAGATAACAGCATGACGTTTTCCTGTAAAACCCTGCCAACGCCATTTCCCGGAGGGGAAATACATGGCGGGTATGAAGGAATAAACGACATGCCGTTTTACGGGCTATTACAGCTCCGTGGAGCCGAACATTTTCCGCGAGGATTCCTAAGAGATTTTTTTTTTCTGAGAAAAAGATATAAAAAAATTAAAAAATATAAAATACAAATGGATAAAAAATAGATAAAACGTAATTAACAAATTATATGGAACTCATCTCCCTCTTCTGTCTTTCACTCTCTATCCAAATAATTAAGAAGGAAAAAAAAAAGACGAATCTCTGGAAAACCGGCCGAGAATCGTCGTTTTCGTTTTTGTCTTAGCATTTTGCCGGGCTCTCTGTCATTTAACCTCTAGTTGTTTTTTCCGGACCCAGGATCAAATTCTCCGGAAATCGATTGTTGGATCCCCTGGTTTTTGGAGTGAAAACTTTTCGATTTTTCCTGGGCATCGATCGAATACTACGTAGAAAATGAATTCCGATTCGTGGAGAGATCGTCTCGCTTCAACATCGAGGAGATACCAATGGGCTTTTCCGTCGCGATCTGGTGAGTTGGCAAGATGTGTTCTTTTGTCTGCGTGTTGCAAATTATTTGATATGGAGATTTGTTTGGTTATCTGTACAATTGGTGGAAAAGAGTTGATAGCTGGCGTCTTGTTTGTGATTTAGGATTCGGATTCTTTTGTGTATATTCTGGAGCTAAGGGTTGAATTGAAAATGTTCGTTCTTTTTGGCTGATTTTGGCTCTAGGTTGTTCTTGATTCCTTAGAAAATGATGGAAATAATTTATATTTAGTTGCTCTATTTGCGTTTTGATTATAGGTTTCAAAGGAAGAAACGACTTTTTCTGGTTAGATGTTTGACCTTTGTCGGAACCCGGACACAGACCTCTCACACTTTCTCCAGATTGACCTGTGAGGATTTACAACAACAACAAAAAAAAATTGTTGTTAAAAGCTATTATCATACTTGACAAAGCTAGATTCATCTCAAGCCTAAAGATTTTTTGTTTGCTTAGACGCGTATGATCTTCTAGGCTCTATCATTTATTGCATTAGCTGATGTGCCTTTGCTATTCTGTCGGTACCCATTTTTCGTTTTCATATAACAAGTGTTTACCCGAAGGAGGAGAATTCTTGTGTGTTGCTACCTTGAGAGATGGGCAAAGAGAGCTAAAAGCATTTCCGATGTTATACTAGTTGTTCTCTTTCTGCATTGATTGATGTTTCTTTGGTATTCTCTTGGTGTTTATCGTGGACTCTGTTCAAAGAAAGTGACCTCAGGGCTGGAATGGAGTTTTCTCATTTCTGACTTTGTAGTTCTTGTCCTTTTGTTCTCTTTGTTTTACTTATAGTTGTGCAGTATATGACTCCAGTTTCTAAATACAGACACACTCTTGGGGTTTGAAGAGATAGATGGAGAAGATGATTTCAGGGAGGAATTCGCTTGCCCGTTCTGCTCAGATTATTTTGATATAGTTTCTCTATGTTGCCACATAGATGAAAAACATCCTACAGAGGCAAGAAACGCGGTAATTTTCTCATGAGTCATGGCTCTGTTTCGTATTCCATAAAAATTTATGATAGGCTCTAAAAATTACAGCTCTTCTGGTGTTGGTTGGAGGAAAAAAAAATTGGAATGTGACCAAAGGTTCATCAACTTGCTAAGGAGTGACCAATTAGTACACAAACTTTTAATTCCTTTTTAACTGCTTTAACTTCTGATTGAAATCCTGTTAAGACAAGAATCCGTTTAAGTTGTTTATGTGGCGAGCATCCTCAGATTAATGTGACGTACCATGCCTTTGCAATGCCAATGCCATATTCTATTGATCCGATTGACATGCCATGAAACTTTGTTGATCGAAGAATTAATCAAATTATTGGTTAAGGTTCGGAAAAAGGCCCTTGTTCATTGTTAGGAAGATTGTTATTGTACATAGCTACTCTAATTCGCCTTTTGAATTTATTTCTACTGACATTTCACTTTAGATTCAGTTAAGAAGATGAATCCAACTTGACTTTTAATACCTTGTCGCTTCTTGTTGCAGGTATGTCCTGTTTGTGCAGTTAGAGTGGGTGTCGACATGGTTGCACATATAACCCTTCAGCATGCAAATATGTTTAAGATATCCTTTTTTCAGTTAAAGAACATTATATAAATAGGATTTTACTACTGTGATTTCTCTTATAAATATGATTGCATTTGATTCCTTGACGAGATGTTTACATGCAGCGGAAGAGAAAGTCAAGAAGAGGTGGGTCTAATTCCACGCTCTCGATCTTGAAGAGAGAGTTTCCTGAAGGAAACTTGCAGAGCCTATTCGGGGGCTCATCGTGTATACTCTCTTCTTCTGCCAACTCAGTGGCAGACCCACTGCTTTCTTCCTTCATTTCGCCAATGGCTGATGAGTTTTTTACTTCCGAGTCTCGCTTAACTTCAGAAACTGATCCTGTCAAGAAACCATCAGACGAGAATTCACGTGAGAGGTACGGTCTTAAACTAGTGCTCTGCAACTTTTTGACAACTTGTCATCATTCTAATACGATGAATTCAGCGTTTCCGGGCAACCTACTGTATTTTACAAGCAAGTGTTGATGAGCGATCGATATGGGTCTAAAGATTACATTTTTTTGGATCAATACACAAGATTATGGTAAATTTGCTAGCCCTAATGAAAACTTTTGATGTGAGTGATACTTTTTCCTTTCGCTCTGCACTCTTTTTAGGGCTTCACCTCTTGCTGTCAAGCTTATTCGATGAAATCAATCAAAAGATCGTTCTTATCCGATGAAACCCGAGATCTTTCTTAGTTCAACCACCACTGTATTGGATCTAAATCGAGTAGGCTTGCGTTATATAACAAGGGCTGAGGAAATCTTTGATCTGTGTGACAGAAACGTCGAAAAGCCGTCTCTTTCGGCTGAGGATCACAAGGAGAAGTTGAAACGGAGCAAGTTCGTGCAAGGGCTTTTGAGCTCCGCAATTCTTGACGACGGCTTATGAAGGACGGAATATATTTTCGGGTAAAAGTTCTCTCAGATCATTTTTTAACTCCAATGTTCTTGCGAAACAAAGTCTGCCGGGAAATGTACGGCCTTTTGTTGTTCATAGCCATGTTGACCAGTGGGAGTTGCAGAACAAAGCGAAAAGCTTTGTAGGGGAATCATGAGTGTTTTATCTTCAAGACTCAGTTATCTCTGTAGTCACGAACAACAGATGTATCTATTTGATCCTATCGTTTATACTTTCCGGTTTATTCCGGTTATCTTTGGTTTATTCCGTTTCTTTCATCTCAAGTCATTTCGTCAAATTAGGTTTAACTTTGTAAAAATAAGTTCTCATAAGCTTTGCCGAATGCCGTCTTCTATCCAACTCTGAGCAAATTATAATTTACAGATTTTTTTATGACAATAATTCTTAATATATTTTAAAAAGTCAACACTGGAATATAAAGGAAAATGAAACGTGTAGCCGTACGGAACAAATTAGACAACAGAAGGGATAAATCTTGAATCTGAATGTACCAAATTTATATGAAAAAAAAATATAAATTTATAATTCTAAAAAATCTAAAGGAAGATCTAAAGACCTAAACTCAACCAATGGGGTTGTCTTGTCTCCATGATGGTCTTAACAACATCTTTTACAAAAGAATCAAAACAAGAAGAGCAACAGCCTTTCATCATGCTGCTGCTGCCCATCTCTACGGCAATGCCGCCACCATGGGGACACGTCACCGGCGGCGTGACAACATGTACTTCACTGCTCCGGTGCTCGAGTCCACAGGCCGCGAGTATCGTGTGTATCGAACACGTGGCAATCTCGTTGAACGTTGCTTGTCCTGAAGAACACAAACCTTTTGAAGAACAATGCGGAGAATAGAGCTGTGGATTTGTGGATTTAACCTATGAAGTTGTGCAAATACCCAAAACTAGCAAGCGAGTTTTATGCAAAGAAAAGCTGCAGATTCCAGACCTAACCTAGAAATTCTGCAGAGAACAACTGTAGTCTTTTGTGTTAAGTCCAAATCTAACCTAAAACTCGAGAATAACCTAGCAGAACATGCAGAGAGCAGATCCAGATTAGAAAATCATGTGAAAGATATTAAGATATGACGGTCGAATCAAGATTTGAGCCAACCCCTTGATTTCATAAACCTACAGGTAAAATAGATTTGCGGGTTACTGAAAACTACCCCTACTCCTAGGAAGTTAAAGCCAAGACACAACAAAGCAAGTCCAATCCACAACTTGAAAAGGGGCTTGCAGTTTGCTTACCTAAGTCGATTTGTCTGGATAAGTTCTTCAGATGGGTTGTAACTGTTAGTTGCAGTTGTTCCCTTTCTATGGAGCGATCTCCTTCTGGTGTCACTCTAAAGACAGACACTGTGTTTGGCAAGTAGCCGAGCTGATGTTGCCGATTACAAGCCACGGGACCAGCGTCAGCAAGTCCAGGCCACAGTCCCGATGAACTATTAGATGGATTTCGAACAGCCTCTTCTCTTCTCAAATGATCAGGCCTTGAAGACACAAGCTCAGTTCCGCTAATAGAAGACGACCTATTGTTATCCCTTTCTCTTTCCTCGATGATTGTACACAATGGCATACTCGTTTCGTGAGTTTTCACGGGTTGAGGGGATTCTGATTCCCTGCCATGATCAATATGCACAGCCGCAAACCCATTACTTGAGTTAGCAACCGACGTTCCATCAGTTCTACCAGCCATACTGTTAAGCCTATTGCTATTGATTATATTTTGTATGTGTCGATGAAGTGAGCGTCTCCTTGATAACGTGGGTGTCCCTGAACCAGATGGAAAAGATCCTAGAACATCACCATTTGGAAGCCTTGGGGACAAAATGTTCTCAAATCCATGGAAAAATGGCGTACGAGGGGAGGTTAGCAGAGAAGCTTCCAGAGAAACAACGGGAATTACAGGTGGTGATGGTCTATTGTACCAGCCGTTGGTTGTTCTTAGCTCAGACGGAATCCCATGGGCCCGGGAGGTAGGCGAACCTAGAGCAACGGATCTGCAACCTTCACAATACCAGTTTCCTTCAGGTACTTCCCGACCAAGACCAACACAGTAAGTATGAGCAGACGAATCACATAGATCACAGAGCAACATAAGCCCATCGTCTCCACCTTGGCGGCATTCTGTGCAAATTACATTTTCATAAGGATCAAGATAACTCCTGAGCTCTTCTTCAGTCGGTTGATAGACCTGCATGCAGAAAAACCCAGATTTCAAAAAGTTTTATTACATATTTCAAGCAACATAAAAACACACAACAACCACATATAATGAGCAGGAAAGGAAAATGTCTGTTATAAGCCAACAATACCATGAATCTGAACTGATCAAAGAAAAAGCAGCAGAAAGATATGTACCTGATCGCGTTCAGGTACGGGTATCACAACTTCTCTCAAACAAGCCCGCTGCTTGCACAATGGGCAACGGGATTCTACTTTAGACCACTCCATTATGCAGGTGAAACAGAAATAGTGACTGCAACAGTCTAGAGTGCCCCTCAGTCTGCGCCTGTCTTCCTCAGATAGACAAATCAGACAGACATGCTTTATGACTTCCATTTTCACCACCTCTAGCTTCTCTTTACCTTTCTTCACCAGAGATTTCCGAATGGGAGGCAAATCTTCGGCGACCTGAGTTTGTCTTGAGGACGATACAGCCCTAGAGGTGGTACTCAGTAATTTGCTGGCTTCTCTTACCTGCTCTCTCTCCTCCTCCGAGATTGTGTACTCATAACCAGATTCCCCGGAGGACACAAAATCTGAATCTGATGCCACGGCATATCGGCCCCTCCCCTTGGAAGGTTTCTTTTTGGACTTCTTTCTTGCAAATGCATAATCATCTACAAGATCATCATTCTCATCATCAGACCTTTCCTTTCTTTTCCGCCCACGCTTCCTTTTTCCTCCCTTTGGTAAACGAGGTCTTGCAACTGAGATTCTCTTTTTCCTCCTTTTACATCCTCCAGTTGTCCTTTTTCGCTTACTTGTCTTACACGATTTCAAAGTTTTATTCTTTTTGCTAGCCACAACTAGCTCTTCTTCCTCTTCCTCTTCTAGCGAAATATATTCATCAGGGGTAAATTCTTCATCATCGTCATCATCCTCGTCCTCATAGTCTCCATCATCTTCTTCGCCTGTCTCATACCGCACATCATCCCGCTCCCCCAACATTACCAATCCGTTTTCGCTATTATGCAAGGAACCTTCATCCACTTTTTCACTCTTGACCATTTCCATGTATATCTCTTCTTCTTCATTACCATCATCCTCCTCCTCCTCCTCGTCATCCTCCCCCTCCTGATAGTCATCATCTTCATCTTCTTTCTTGGCCTTTGGCTTTCCAACCTTTGTTTTCCAACTCAATTCTTCCCCTTCGTCTTCCTCATAATCCATCCTATCTTCCTCCTCCTCCTCTTCATCATCAGACACCACCTTATTCATCTTTCTCGATTTCTTTCCCCCAATTTTCCGATCAGCACGGTGACCCTCTATTCTTTTTGGCCTTCCGAAACTCCTTTGCCTCACATTCTCCTCCTCCAGCTCATATAACTCCTCTTCCTCCGCGCCATTGAAACCCTCTTCCGACTCACCTCCGTCTAAAGATGAGCGATATTCTTCTAAATCAGCTTCAGATTCTTCTTCCTCCTCGTCAGATACAACATAATCCTCATCTGATTCATCTGATCCCTTATCATTCGATCTAACCCTTTTATTCAAATTTCTTTTACAACTGAACTTGTCTCCCCTTCCCATATGCTCCTCGAACACTGCACACTTAAGCAGGCTACCGAGAGGAACGTCTACAACCACTAATCCAAATCCAAATCCAATAAATACTATCAGATTCCTCAGCTCATGAATCCATTTCTAAATCAAATTGTACCGAAAAAATTACGAAGATCCTTCAGTTCTTCTTCCCCCAATATTTTCCGCCTTAGAAATAAATAGGGTATGAACTTCAACCCAAACTGGAAACCACAATCTTTCTCTTCTACAAAATTCCGGAACCACCTACTCGATCTGCACTGCCAATGTCAAAATCAGCGCAAAAAATCAAAACAAATCAGACGCGTAACACCATTGCCCTAATCATCTCAGAAAAACCCTTGATTTGATTCCAAATACACCCATTCTACCGTTACCCAGTATTTCTCATGCAACGTCAAATCGGACCCGATACAGAAAGCAGATCCTTCCGAAACAGAAATCAACCCACACAAAAAACAACGAATTTCCTTTCTTTTACAAGAGGAAAGGTCAAACAAAACAAACACAAATCCAGATTACTATCATCCCCGTCATATATACACACACATGCATAGACACAGCGAGAAAACAAACCTCAGAGGAAGAAGAAGGAGACGAAGAAATTTCGATGGTTGCGCTCTTCGTGATCCTTTTCCTCCCCCGCGTTAATTTCTTCCGTATTTACAATTTTTTTTTTCCTTCCTTCGAATTTTTGCAGAATAGGGCGAAATTGGGAAAGGGATCGATTTGTTTAAAGGCTACGACGGGTTGGAAGGTTGGAACGTTCCTCTAACAAATGACGATAATACCCTGGACCAATCCGGTAGCAGTTGAAGCTGCTCCTGGGCCTTTTTGACTTTTCCAGCTTTTGTTAGGATGTAATTGTAAACACGTGAGGGAGATATCTCCTGTGGACGAGCACACCAGATGACTAGAATCTGACGGCCACTACGTCGAGATCTGACGGTCGATATGTGCCTGGATTTTTAAATTGCGAAATGGTTTAGGCAGACCTCCAAACTTTTAAAAAGGAAGGGACATTTTTTTATTTGGTAAACATCATACATTATACAAAAAGATATCCGAAATTAATGCTATTAATATGTGTGGTTAAAGAAAAACAATTAATTCTATTTATGTGAAGAATATGATTTCTATAATATGTCTTTATAAAATAATAGATGAAACAAACAATTTTGATTGTTACCAATACTAAAAATAATAATTTTAATAGGTAGCTACAGAGCAATTATTGTTTTCTACTGTTTCATTATATTTTAAGCAAAAAATAAATAAATTTCCTTTGTTTTACAGTTTAAATATTATGCATACAACTTTTTATTTCGTGATCTTTGAAAAACCCTTAATTGGGAAAATATAATAGTAATTAAAAAACAAAACAAAAAAAAATAATTAGGGCATATTAGCCCACTGGGCTATCTGGATAGAGAATTGGGCCCACAAAACTAATATAGAAATTGGAGTCCACAGGGTTTTATTTTGTAAATACGATGAATAAATTAAGCTCATTGGGCTCAATTTCAGTATTTGGGCCTTGAACAAAATTGTTATTTGAATTTAAATTTTGTGATTTCTTATTGTTTTATACAAATAAACATGTCTTTATACTGAGGTTCACGTCAAATTTCTGTTCGAGTTTTTTTAGTTTTGGAAATTAAATACATTCGGGTTTCATTGTTTTATTATTAAGTTAAAATTTGGTTTTATTCGAATTATAGTCGTTTCGGATTTAATCTTTATTGTAAAAATAATTGTTTTTATTCGATATTTTTTTGTTACTTTGTAATCAATTCGCATTCAATTAGTTATGAAGATCGATATGAATTTTTGCAAAACAAATTTTTAAAGAACCCAACTCCACTGCTGAGCATAACGCACCAACCTGTAAAAGCATAACTTTGCTTATACATTTATTCTAAATACGATATATACATACAATACACAGCCCCTACCCCTAACATAATATGGTTGAGCTGTCCAATCCAATGGATATTGGTCTTTAATAGCATACCCATATTATTATATATTGCCTTTCAATTTTATACAATTATATCAAACTTATATATATATATATATATATTTGTAGTGGCACCATGATTATTTACAATGCAATTCGATCATTAGTCTATATATATATTAAAGAATAGAGATGTCTATAATATCGTAAGTCATTATCTAATTTTACACGTTGGATATAAATAGCCAACCGTTAAACAAATAGTCTTTTTTTTTGTTTTTTTTTTTGGAAAATCAGTTAAACACGATGTTGTGGATTCGATTAATTCTAAAGTCTGAATTTCCCCTGAATTGATCAGTTTCGACTGATTTATCCGTTCCGCGTGGTTTGACGGATATTGTACAAAGTTAGGGAGTTTATTGTACGAGATATCGTACGGCCGCGGGACCGAACGGTGTCCGATCCAAAGGTTATGAAAACGGATTCTCACCGTATAAAGAAATATAATTTTCCAATATTTATAATCATATATATACATACATAGTTGGAAAGGACTTTTATCCAAATGAGGAATGATGAAGTTTTGTAGGGTTTTAGGGGTTTGTTTTTGAAGTGTCTGCTTCGGCAAACATTAAACTATTGGAAAAGAGTTTTAGTGTCTCTAAGGGCGTAGACACACTTTTTCTTTTTTTTTTTTAAAAAGTAATTATTTTTTAATTTAATTTGGAAACATGTCCCCAAAAGCACCAATAAGAGAGTAATCCATCTCCATCTCCATCTCCATCTCAATCACACACACACGCAAACATATACATATATATATATATATATATATATATAAGAGAATTTAAAAAAAAATGTTGAAATATTTGACATCAATAACTCACAAATTCGAGTCTTTGATCGTAAAATCGCTTTTATTAGTCATCCCCGAGTGTGTTTTCCCGTAGATTTTGCATCCATAGCAAAATTACATTTATGCCCTTCTAACCCTCCAACTTTCTCGGAGTCTCTCTCACTTTTTTTTCCTATATATATATATACACATATATATGTATATATATATTTGAGGGTTAAGAAATTGATAGGTGCTTTTGATCTGAACTTTGCGTGCCCAATCCTCCCTTTAGCCGGCATTTTTCTTGGGCGGCCTTTTACGTGGGCCCATTATTTCCTGAGCCCATTTTATTATTATTATTATTATTTTCATAATAAACCCTCGTTTTTCAAATTAATTACAGTTCTGCCACGTTCTCCCTGGAGCCCGCGCCTTTTGGGTTCGGGGGATCCGAAACACCGGTTTGAATATTAGTTTATCGTTGGAGGGAATGGCGTTCCGCAATTACCGTTCTACCCTCCTTCATTCGCTCTTACTATGTTTAATTTTAAATCTCTAATAACTTTAGCTAATCGCCATTATAGTTCTCAAAATAAACATTCTTTTATTAAAAAAATAGGCAAAATTTCACGTTTGACTATTAAGATAAAAAGAAATTAATGTCATAAATGAAATAGGAAAAAAAATAACAAATTAGAAAATTGTTTAGAATTAAGTTGTGAAAATAAATTAGAAAACATATATAATCCAACAGCCACGAAACGAACCTGGACGTTCGGAGTATATCGCGCCTCTCTCTCTCTCTCTCTACGCTTTTTCATCAGAGAGAGAGAGTGGTAAAGGGGAAAGGCGAGAAAATGAGAGAGAAAGTGAGGGAAAATTCATTTCAAAGGGCCTTTCTCTTTCGTCGCGCTTATTCTCTCCCTATATAAACCGCAAACTTCTCTCTTCGTTCTTCACCTAGAATCTCCTTCCTTCAATTAAACGACTTGACCTGAATCGGCTTTTGATCCTTGGGTTGGGGGATTTTTTTTTTCCGGGTGAGATTTCGTTATTCGATTATTGTCCATGGAAATGGCGACATCGGAGAGCAACGATCTCCAGTTTTCCGTAGTATCCATTGTGGAAGATGTTCTCCAACAGCATGGAACTCGATCGAGTGACGTCTGTTTGGCACCACGGAAAGTCGAGGAATCTTGTGAGTCGATCGATCGTATTTCTTTTTATCTCCGCGAATCCTGATCCATCATTTCTCAGTTTCATTTTAGCATTTTACCGATTTGTTCATTCGCTTAGAGCAATAGAATAATGTAAAATTAATATGAAATGAGTTTGATCCGGTGAATTCCAGGTATGTGATAATGGGTTCGATTGCAATGAGGAAATTTTGCAATCGTTTCATGAATTATCGATCAGATTTTGCATTTCGTTCATGGTTTGTTTCATTTCTGTGATTCATTCTCAGTTTCTAGTGTCATCATCAGTAATGTTCATAGAGAGATAATTGCTTGAAAAAATTGTTTGCCCTGTAGCTTTGAGAAGATATGAAGCCGCAGGGTGGCTAAGAAGAATGGCCGGAGTTATTGGCGGTAGAGATATGCCGGCAGAACCCGATGAAGAAGATTTCAGGCTTGCATTGCGAAGCGGTATCATACTCTGCAATGTTCTTAACAAAATCAATCCTGGATCCGTGCCAAAGGTAACATGCTTAGATTGTATATATGGATGAATGAATGTGTGCATGTATATATATTTCAGACTTTGAATGATCGCAGTTCATTTGAAAGATCAAAACATGGCCGCATCTACTTGTTACAGGTTGTCGAGGCACCGAGCGATTCTGCAGATGGGGCTGCTCTTTCTGCTTTCCAATACTTCGAAAACATCAGGAATTTTCTGGTTGCAGTAGAGGAAATGGGTTTGCCATCTTTTGAAGCTTCTGATCTGGAGAAGGTAAAATGCTTTGAAGCATAAAGAAACACGGGCATATATCGATAATGAATTTGCTGGATCACAAAATTTTCAGGGAGGCAAATCTGCAAGGATAGTGAATTGTGTTCTCGCACTTAAATCCTACGACGAGTGGAAACAGAACGGTGGAATCGGTTCATGGAGATACGGAATGAACATTAAGCCTAATTGTGGATTTGGAAGACCATTTTTAAGGAAAACTTCAGAGCCATTTATGAGTTCCATATCAAGAACCAAGTCTGCAGACAGTTCATTAAGTGATCAGCCTCATTGTTCCGATCTTGGACAAGAACTTAACGAAGGAGTATGTGGAATTAACCTCTTGTTGATCCAGGCTTTTGTTTCGGTGACATGAGTTGCGATGAACTGTTTCTAAGCCTTACACTCTTATGCTAATTCTCAGGGAGATTCTAGATCCATAAATGCGCTTGTTCGCTCTTTTCTTTCAGACAGAAAGTCTGAAGAAATTCCGACAGTAAGTATGTTGTGCCTCCATGATATCTTCGAGTTCCTTTTTGACATTTGATACTGTTCTGCGGAATTCTTATCTGGGAAATCTGATTTCTCTGTCTACTCTAATCTTGCCAGATCGTGGAATCTATGTTGAACAAAGTTATGGAAGAGTTTGAACGGCGCTTATCAATCCACAGTGAAATGGTGAGGACATGTCAAATTTGTTATGATTTCGAGATTTTAATCTGGCTCTGTTCCTATAAAGTTCTTATTTCTGTTTCTTCAGATGAAGACAAGTTCAAAGCATCCAGAAGATGACTCATACTGTGACACAAAGGTAAATCTTCAGCATTGCGTCGTTAGACAACAGGAGGAGACAGAAGAAGATGTTCTGTCACAGCTCGATAATGAAAAGTTTCGAAGAGAAAATTCCGAAAATTATGAAGAAAGGGAGATTCTTCTGAAACAACAGAGATTTATCCAGGTAAGTTTTTATTGTATCATACATCTATTCAGTCTTTTTCTGGTAACCGTATGGATAGAGTTTTAGCAGCTTTCATTCATTCTCCACAGGAACTGAAGCAATCACTAAACGTTACAAAAGCAGGAATGCAACTGTTGCAGATGAACTACCACGCAGC